GATACATACAGCTTTAACATATTCAGTAACACACTCCAGAGCAACAGTACATCCATCTCTTTCACAAGTGGGTTCAAGTTTCTAGGTTCACAGTTGAATTAATATAGTTATATATTATTGAACTCAGTATAAGCCCTGTAAGACATAAAATTGGATGAGTTTTTAACCTTAAAAAAGATCTCCATTTCATTTTAGAATATATTGTTCCTTGTAGACAGACTCATTGTTTTTGCTACTAACACTGAGATGTTGGAGCTCACACCTGTAATCTGTATGTGTTTGATTATTACTAGTCATAATCGGTTGCACTCGGATCCTTGACACCTGTGTATGCCTATAAAGTCATCGGGTAGATTTCAGTGGTAATGTTTAGCACATCTACTAATTAACATGATGTAATGTTTTATGCTTCCTCTTCAAATATAATCCATTTTTAAAAATTTGTTGATTTTTTTGTATGTGTGTATATCACACAGAACATCCCAAACCATCTCATTCAACTGTACACCCACTTTCCATATGGTACCCTCCATAGCCTCCCTCCCCCCACTAGAGCCCTTATACTCTGTTATCCCTGCTACTGTACGCTGTGATGTTGTCATCCCCAGCTGTTCCCCACTACTTGTCCATCTGGTGAATCTAGTCAACCTATCTAGACTTGTTTGTTTTAAGAAGGTCAGCTGTTCCTCATCTAGCAGCAATTGGTTGTCAATATTCCTTTAGATAAGATTGGGGTCTGCTGTTCATTTTCCCAGTTCTTTGCTGGGTTACTATCTGGGAGACACTTGGGCCAACAACTCAAAAGAAGGTATCTCCTTTCTGGCATTGTTGATTGTTATGTAGCCTTTAACTATACATATGGACTCTTAAAAAATTGTATTGGCCCCTTGAATCTTTGGTTATACTTTCCTTTTGGGTGTTTAAGGCCATACAGTTGGCCCAGATAAATGAATGTAATTTTAGTCTTAAGGTCGTTTGAGGATGTGTTCCTCAGGGGTCACATGGGCTTGGGAGGAGCCCCTGGCTCCTTTCTTTTACCAGTTCCGTCTATGTGAAGATAAGTCAAAGGTCCTGCTCGACCATGGTTGGCTTCACTTGGAAGAATGGATGAAATGATTGCTCTGCATTGACCTTCCTCTTTGTAGACTGAACACTAGTTCAAGTCCATCTGGTGGGGTCTCCTCGGCCTCCTTGGTCAAGAGGATGGTGACCCACCACAGTTACAGGGCATTTTGAGAGGTTCTCATAGTCCCCTGCAACTAGCCAACCTAGGAGGGCAAGGAGCAAAAACTTTCCATTATGTCCCTCTGACCAAATTATTATAGGCCTCAAAGTATGTCTGTTAAGTATCCAAGAAGGGTAGTTCCACCTGTCTGGTATATTTAATTACTGTGTGCCATGTAGATAAATCTTGGACAAACACCAATTGTTCTCTGATAAACCTTGCCTAGACATATGTTTCTTGATCTGGTATGTAGAATTTGTCAGTAGGTTGTTGGACTAATATGGTTCCCTCTGGTTTTTAAAACTAGCTAGGCATTATTTATCTCTCCCATTGTCTAATACCTCCATCATGGTTTCCCCAATTAAGATGCCCCCATTTTTTCCCCTTTCTCCCTTAGTAATACCCTTCTCCTATGGTCCTAACTCTCTTGAGCTCTTTCTTTCCCTTTATCCCCTAGGTTCCTTGTATACCCTTCCCTCCCCCCTCCCTTAAACTGACCCAATTTTTATCCATATCACCCTTATTAATGCCTGTTTCCTACGGTTCTTCTCTTTCAGGTTCTGTCTTTTCCTTTACCTCCCTGGTTGCTTTCCATTATCCTGGTTCCTGTAGTTATGTCTGGATACATACTTATCAGCATTTGTTTCTCAGAACCACATATGAGGGAGAACATACGATTTTTTTTTCTGAGTCTGTGTTACTTCACTTAGTATAACAGTTTCTAGTTCCATCCATTTACATACAAATTTCATGATTTCATCTTTCTTTACTGCTGAATAAAACTTCTTCGTATAAATGAACCACCTTTTCATTATCCACTCGTCAATTGAGGGACACTTTCATTGCTTCCATCTGATAGAATGCATGGATCATTACAGTCTTTTTGTATTTGTTGAGGTTTGATTTGTGCCCCAGTATATGGTCGATTTTGGAGAAAGTTCCATGGGGCACTGAATAGAAAGTATGTCCTTTGGTGCTTGGGTGGAATACTTGGTAGATGTTTGTTAGGTCCATTTAACATATGGTATTGCTTAATTCAGATGTCTCACTGTTAACTATCTGCCCTGTTGACCTATCTAATGGAGACAGTGGGGTGTTGAAGTCTTGTACTATTAATGAGTTGGGATTAATCTGGGCCTTAAAGTCCTGTAGTATTGTTTTTATGAAGTTGGGTGCACCAGAGTTTGGTGAATATATGTTCATGATTGTAATATCTTTTTGATTTATTGTTCCTTTGATCAGAATGAAGTGGCCTTCTTTATCTCTTCTGATTAGTTTTAGTTTAAAGTTTATTTTGTCAGGTATTAGAATTGCAATGCCTGTTTTTTTCTTAGTAACATTTTCTTGGTATATTTTTTCCCATCTTTTCACCTTAAGATGGTGCCTGTCCTTGAAAGTGAGATGAATTTCTTGCAGACAACAAAAAGATGGGTTTTCGTTCTTAATCCCTTCACCTATTCTGTGTCTTTTGACTGGGGTGTTCATTCCATTAATATTTAAAGTTATTAAGATGAGCATTGAATCCTGTCATTTTTATTTCTGTTTACATCTTGATATAGCTGTACTTTTCCACAGTTATACCTTCATTGAATTTCTTTCCACAACCCCTTGGGTATAGTCATTCCTTTCTTCAGCTCTTTGTATTGCTTCCAGAACTCTCTGAAGGGCTGGTTTTGTGGTATGAATTCCTTCTGCCTATTTATGTCATGGAAGACTTTTCTTTCCCTTTCGACAATAATAGACATTTTGGTTGGGTATAATAATCTGGGTTGTCATCTGTGGCTGGAAATAATTTGGTCAAGTCTCTTCTGGCTTTCATAGTTTGCATTGAAAAGTCAGCTGTGATCCTAATGGGTTTTCCTTTAAATGTGGAAGCAGAGGGAGGTGAGGGCAGGACCAGGCTCAGATGGCTTCTTGGGATCCTCGAGAAGGACCTGGGATGTTCTGGATGCAAAGGATCAGGAAGAAGTTTTTGGTCCCCCAGTGTCTGGGGTGCCAAGACAAAGAATGGGACAGTACCCAGTCTAGGAGGAGAGATGGCCAGGGGAGATGGGAGGGTTAATGGGGCTGGGGAAGTCAAGGCACAGAGGGCATAGTGGATTTACCCAGGAGAGAGGCCAGTGCGTGTGCAGGCCCAGGGAAGCAGAGGCAGGTGAGGGCGGAACCAGGCCCAGAGGGCTCCTGGGGACTGGGTTCATCTGGATGCAAGGGATCAGGAAGCAGTGGTGGTTATGGGCCTAGAGGTCAGCCCTTGTTTCCAGGAAAGAAGCTTGCTGGTTGTGCAGCCCAGGGAAGCAGAGGGAGCTGACAAGAACTGAACCCTCTTAGCTGATGAGCCATCCCTACAGTCCCTTGACTGAATCTTATGATTCATTCATTTTCTTTGTGACATTAAGTTAGTAATCACTTTAACTTTCTTGGGACTCTGATGTTCTGATATGTAATGTATATCTAGCTGTACTAGATAATCTCTAAGCTTTTACATTGTGAAAGTTCTTTTTTTGCAGATATAAATGACAAGTAGAATAAACTTTATATCTTCAGGGAATTTATAATAAAAAAAGGTGAGACATTCTTGCCACTTCATTGGATGCATGTAGATAATAATCTCAATGTAAGAGAACTGCACAATGCTGTTAGAATTTAAAATATATTTGTGTATAATAAGATAATATTAATGTTTGACTTCAATTGAATGGAGTTATAATAGGTGAGTCATGAGAAGTTAGTGTAGGAGATGACAGTTGGCATATTTCTTGGTGGATAGTAGAAGGAGATGAGGAGGAGATGCAGTGAAAGTGTAAGGAGTTTTAAATATGGTACAAATAGCCAACAGGAAATCATAGATTTCTGAGAAAGTTAGAAATTATAAAGGCATTCAGTTAGTTCTGTAAGCACTAGAATTTCCCTCCCTGTCTTTTTACTCTGTGAGTACTTGTATTAGGTCACCAGACTACTGTTTTATCTAATACTTATATCACTTTAGTGGGATAGTTTAGTGTAAGGAGTTTTAAATATGGTACAAATAGCCAACAGGAAATCATAGATTTCTGAGAAAGTTAGAAATTATAAAGGCATTCAGTTAGTTCTGTAAGCACTAGAATTTCCCTCCCTGTCTTTTTACTCTGTGAGTACTTGTATTAGGTCACCAGACTACTGTTTTATGTAATACTTATGTCACTTTAGTGGGATAGTTTTGGAAATTCACAATGCATTTATATCTACTTACCTAATTTCTTTCAGGTAACTTGTCCAGGAGTGGTGCTGAAAAACAAGGAGGACATCTATCTTAGTATCTGTGTGTTTGGCCAATACAAAAAGACACAATGTGTCCCAGCTACTTTCCCACTGGTGTTCAATGCCAGAATGGTGTTTGAAAAGGTGAGTTCAGATGTCAGATCTTGTATTAACAATCCCCATTCCCCAAATCAAAGTGATTCCAATTTTGGATGAACATCTGTAAAACGAAGGATTACTGCTGACTGTGAACTTTAGCATAATTCAGAAGGAAAGTTGTCACTTAAATTTACATATTTTACAAATTGAAAATAGTCATTATATTATGCATTAAATCAGTTGCCTTTTTCATTGTGATGTGGATCAGCTTGTTTCTAAAATACCTTTTTGGGCTCTATGTAAAACATAGCACCTTGAATTCTGTAGTCTCACCAATGTTGAAGGTTTGTTTTGAGGCTCTGTATTGTGACTCATTCCTGCTAATGCTAGTATTTTTTTTTTCTTTTTGTCATCTGCATTTATCTTGAAGCAGTATGTGACATGAACACTACATTTCCATTTACAAGCCTTGATGAATTACAAGACCTAGGGAAGCTTAGGGTTTAGTTCTCACACTTTAGTTTGAAAAACAAGCCATGTGGGGGATTCCTCCCATCAAGCTGTTTCTGCTTATGTACTTATTTCTAGGACTAGTGCATACAGAGTTAACTATTGGGGATGGAAACCTTAAAAAGATTCTAAAAGATGAAATTCAAGCCATTCTAACAAATTTCTTTAACATGAAGATATATCTCAGACCACTTTAGTGACAGATGACTTTGGCCTACTAAGGAATCCAGCTTAATAGCTAAACACTTCAGACCACAGCAGGTTTCATCACACCCTGCAAAAACGTTCTACTAAGTTGTTAAAATAAGCCAAGGTGAAATGGGAAAAGGCATCACTAGGTTCACTTTACTGCTTAAGGAATCATAGTATCACTTCAAAGAAGAAGGAAATCTTATTTTCCCCTTAAGTTATGCCACACAGGTTTTTTAAATGTTAGCAAAAATAAAAAAAATCCTGGAAAATATGTTATCAGAAAAAATGAAGATAAGTATTGAGCATGTGGTCAAGTGGTTCTGGCAGTGAAGTCTAGTTTACTTCTTTTCCTGAGTGTCACCATCTCCTTCAAGGCATGTAATGCCAGTATTTTTGAGGCATAGGCAGAAGAATTGAGAGTTCAAGACCAATCTGGGCTATACAATGAGTTTCTCTCTCAAAAACCAATAACCCCTCAAATGAAACAACAATTAAAAAAAACACAAGCAAATGTTTCTTTGGTTGGGAAAGAAATGTATTTGGGGAATGGGAATGGGAAAAGACCATCCTATTTATGTCTTCCTTTTGCTTCCCCCATCCTCGCACCCTCTTACTGTAGGTGTTCCCTGAAGCAGTAGACCCTGGAGATGTGGTTGCACAGCTGGAGTGTAAGTTTTGGCTTTTTAATTCCTGAGTGTAATACATTTTAGAATTAGCATCCTTATGATACGTAATTTGTGATTCAATAAACGTTTAAAAGGTCTAATAGGATTTTAAAAATATTGACTTTGAGATATTTTTATACTTTTTACAATTTCAGAATAAACCTGAAAATAATAAAAAAAAACTATTTGCTGCCAGATATACTGAACATTTCTCTTCTTTCTGTTTTGGTCTATGAAAAAAAAATATAAACTTTTCACTGGTCAAGGTGGTATGGAGTGTTCTGATTCATGTGAGGTGGGTCTTTGCCTTGTAAGCAAAGCTATGTGTTTAACTGAAGAGTATTATGAGTCAAGAGAATGAGAGACGCTTAAAGTAGTGTGCTTAAAAGATATGTGTTTTTACATTTTATATTAACTTCATTATTTGTAAATTATTTGAAAGATATTTTTAAGTCTTTGGATAACAGTAAATTCTTCATACTACCCTTAGGATTCAACTAGGAAAAGCTACACAGCACTGCTAAAAGCGTGCACTTGGAAAAAGCTCTTCCTGCTCTGGCTATGAAATGGAAAGCTGCTACTTATGCTTATAAGTAGAAAGAATTCTGGGGTCACAGATAGATCTTACCTATAACTGTAACTCAAAACGGCAACAGGATTGGACATCATCGTCCTCCACTTCCCCTTCATACTTTCCTCCATTCCCCTCCCCAGGGGCTGGCTAGACATGTAGAAACATGAAATCTGGCACCCTGCTCACATAGATAGCTGAAGTCACCAGCCTACTTATCTTCATGAGACTTAATGGTTTAAGGACTTTTCTCCAGAGGGTGCTTTGTGGAAAGACCCAGGATTTTATTTGTCATTTCATATCTATGCTAGAACCTGACATTGTATTTTCCATGGTGGCAAACCGGCCAGGTGGCAGGTTTTTGCTTGTAGGCTTATGTGTATTTTGATATTTTGTGGACACCTTGTTCATTATCTGGGAAACTATACCTTCAAAACAATGAAGATAATCATTTTCTCATTTTAAAATTCTTCTGTTGAAAGACACTTAGTGCTTTTCCCCCATTTGACTTGAAATTTTAGGACAGCAAGGAAAGTACTTAGGGGTTATTTTTATTTGAAAACTGTTTTGATTTCCCTGCTCAATTTTTTTCTTGAGTCTCTACCAAATAAGCAAAATTCCACTTGAAGTACCCTTTCAGATTTACCTTCCCTGTCCATTTCCTTACAGTAACACTGGCATTCCGCCGCTTCATGCCTCTCATGTCCTTTTACTTCACTTCTTCTCTGTCCTTACACGGTACCCCCAAAGCTTGCTTTCGCAGGTGGTACCTCTCCTCTGATGACTTCCACAGCAGTCTTTACACACAGCTCTTTTCTTTTGCTTCTTCCTTCTTGTTTCACAATCGTTCTCTGTTACTTATTTCCAATATGAAAAATTTAAAACACACTAAAAGTGGGGAGAATAGAATAGCCAGTATGTTTATAATCTGACTTCAGTAAGTTTTGACACTTCATAAATTTAATTGCATGTTCATCCTGATACCACTAACAGATATTGTTGGGATGTTTAAACAGAAATTTATACATTGTTGTTTCACTTCAGATAAAGGATTTATAAAAATGTGGCCACCATGTTGGTGTCACACTTAAAAAGTGAACAATTCTGACTATCCTAAGGCCTCTTGGGGTAAGTCTACAGCGCAGCTCTCCACGCTGGGACTCCCTAAGCCACATTCACCCTTCCATCCCCCCACCTCGCCGTACTATACTCCTAGTTTGAGCCCTGCGCCACTCCTAGTCTTGGGGCCCCAGACACCTGGGGAACCAATACTGCTTCCTGACCCTTCTCACCCAGAGCAACCCAGTCCCTTTCTTGGGCTCCAGGAGCACCACTTCTGGTCCTGGCCCTGCCCTCACCTCGCTCTGCTTCCCTGGGCCTGCACCACCGGCTAACTCTCCTAGCCTGCACTACTATCCTCAGGCCTCTTGGGGTAAGTCTATAGCGCAGCTCTCCGCGCCGGGACTCCCTAAGCCTCATTCCCCCTTCCCCCCCCCCCCCCCCCCCCCTGCCCCCCCGCCCGCCGTTCTATACTCTAGTTTGGACCCTGTGCCATTCCTAGTCTTGGGGCCCCAGACACCTGGGGAACCAATACTGCTTCCTGTTGCTTTTGGTTGTGTGAATTAGAAAACTGATTCCTTTGGAATGTTCTTTTATATTTGGCTATTTGCTTCCCTATAAATTTTTGTTTGATTTATCACTTGTATTATATAAGCTGTTAACTAGAACTGGAGGTATGTTTTGGATTCAGACTTATTTTACTTCACTTTATTATTTTGCAAGAATCCTTGATAGTTGGTGTTGTGTAATAATTGCACTGTGTCAAGTGTCATGAGTATCTGTATTTAGTGATGCTAAGAACGATCATTTGGCTCCAGGTAACGGCATCCCAAGCCTCCAGCATAACTTCTTATTCAGCTTTCAGTTCGTTAGGTTTAGCCTTCGTTCAGATCCATCCTTTTCACTAGGGGTTAACAGAAGTATTATATTGTCACTCTTGCATTTATTAGCTAGGCTTTTTCTTTTTCTGTATTTCTGTGTGATGTATATGTGGGTATACTTGTTTGCGTGTGGTGTGGTGTGTGTGTGTGTGTGTGTGTGTGTGTGTGTTTGCATGTTGAGGCCCAAGGTTGACATTGTGAGTTTTCCTCAATTACTGTCCACCTTATACATTGAAGCAAGGTCTCTCACCCAATCCAGAGCTCCTCTTTAGGTTAGCCTGGCTACAGCTGGCTTTGGACTCCTTGGCTCTGTCTGTCTTGTGCTAGGATTACAGTGGGTTTGCCATTTCCCCCTTTTCCCTGGGTTTTGAGGCTCTGATCTCTCCCCTTCCTGCTTATGTGGGAAATGCTTTACCTGTAATTTTTCTATAAACTTTTTCTTAACAGCAATTTGGCTCTCTTGCAATAGTTTCTGTAGAAAAGGCAAGACAAGCATTTAAATGCCTTCTGTTCTTCTGTTTAATAGCTTTAGCAAGGTATAAGTTACATATCATAAGATGCATCCATTATGATGATAGTTAACTGATTTTTAGAAACTTTGAACAATTGTGAGCCAACATCACTACTCAATTTAGGATATTTCTGTCACCACAAAAAAGTTCCCTGATGTCTATTTGTAGTCTCATCTATTTTCTATCTCTATAGACTTGCCTTACCTTGTCTTTTCCCTCTAGCTTCTTTAACTTAGAATAATGTTTTTGAGGCTCATGCATGTTTTTCCACATACAGACATTCATTTCTTTTTATTGCCAAGCAGCATTCAATTACAAGGGAAGCTCAATGGGGTGGTTGACAATTCAGTGGGCATTTGGACTCTTCAGTTATTGTAAACAGTGCTGGTTAGTTCCACCAGTCTGGTACTTGTAATTTCCATGTGCTATGTAGATAAAACTTGAGTGAAAAACCAAATATTCTCAGATAAATCTTGACTAGATATATATTTTGTTCCTTAAATTAGTTAACTAAACTATGAACTTAGAAAATTTAAGATTATGTGTATATTATTTTTATCTCATCCTTTAAATATCATAACAAACCTACACAGACCTTCATCACTTATCACTTGCTTAGGCTTTCTCATTTTTTTCTATTTTGGAAAATATCTCCATTCCCATATCCTTTTACATCTTTTACATTCTCATTTTCTTTTATTTTTTTGATAATTATGAGATATAATAGAATTAACAAATAAATTTTCCATCTGTTGCGAGACTTCTTCTCCTGGGGAAACTAAGCAAGGCTTATTCCCTTTTAAGGTTCTAGTGTCAAGCCAATGTTTGATTAAAGTTTTACTAGGGAAACAATTTACTGAGCTTACTTACTGAGTTAACTGAGGGGTTGCTGTGGTGTATGTGTGACCTGAGGGTATGCACACTGGAGAACCTTTACCCAGCATGGGTCAAGCCTTCTCTTCCTTTCCCCAGATTGAATACTTTATTCCTCCCCAAATCCAGGAGACCATGTGTGATTATGGCCATATTACATGTAGTTGACTGGGAAGAGTGGCTGGATACTCTGGCCTTCCTTTAATGACTGAGCACAACCATCAACAAGACCAATTGTGATGATCTTTAGCAATCAGGCACAGCTGAAGTCATGATGATGGTAGTTATTTTATGCAGTAGAGATTGCTGTACAGCATCATCTTAAAAGGACATGGAATTTTAAAGGAGTTCGTGCTAGGATCCACATATGAGGGAGAATATACGTCTTTTATTTTTCTGAGTCTGTGTTACTTCACTTAGTATAACAGTTTCTAGATTCATCCATTTACGTGCAAATTTCATTATTTCATCTTTCTTTACTGATGAATAGAACTCCGTTGTGTAAATAATACCACATTTTTGTTAACTACTCATCAGTTGACGGGCACTTAGGTTGCTTCTATCTCTTAGCTATTGTGAAGTGAGCAGCAACAAACATGGTTGTACAAGTGACTGTATAATATAATGAGTCCTTTGGGTATATGCCAAGAAGTGGTACAACTGGGTTATATGGTAGGTTCACTTTTAGTGTTTTAAGAGTTCTCCACACTGTTTTCCATAGGGGTTGCATGAGTTGGCAAT